TTGGCTCGCTAACTTCTTAACTACTAATAGTAGATTTTTAGTTTTGTAAGAAAGAGGAAGAGTTTCTTAATAATTGTATATGTATGTATATGTGTGTATATTAACACAAGGAAACAAAATAATTTTCTATTTTAAAAAATATGAAAGATGTATATATATATATATATATATATATATATATATATATATATATATATAAATGCATACACTATTATAAGTAGTATAGATTGGTAACAAATGGGGCAAGATTCACTTTTCGAGATTCCTGTCATGGCACATGGTTTTCCATCCATTGACTAAAGTTAAACACTTGAAGGCGGGATTAGTTCTAATTCTCAATCTCTAAACTAAATACTTATACAAAGTGTCACATACATAATCACAAAGGTAACTAGTCATGTTTTATCCTGAATCTTTAAAAATCCCTTGGTCAGCCACCTTTACTCCCGTAAGGCCAACCCATTCACACAAAACTATATGAGCCATGAGCCAACAACCATATACACTAGCGTTCATTAATTTATACGTACACATCTATATTGTTGTTTATTTGTTATTATCCAGCCCGATTAATTAGGAAGAAACAAAACTAACTTAATGTTCAATGAGCAAGATTGGGGATGAGGGTAACTGATATGGGATTTTACTTGTTCCTATCGCCAGTTGTTGTTGAGAATTAAATCTTTCATTCGTCATACACAGTGGAAGCATCATCATTACATCATCACACAAGCATATATGGAGATAACAATCATATACTTTCACGCACAACACAATATTTTTACATAGTTCACCAAATTCTATGGCTACGTCCATAGAGAGCGAGATTTTACTATTATGTATCAAAGAATATGATATACAACTACGGATGTCAAAACCCTTTTTCCCATTTTTTGTTCTTTCACGGGCCTAAGGATACCAAAACCTTTTTCCCTACATTCTGTTCTTTTCCGGGCCTAAGAATACCAGAATCCTCTTTCAAACTTTTCTTTTCAGGTTACATCCCCATGATTTAGATATACTCATTCCTCTCTTAAAAATACTTACCCTTTTAACCCCTTAATTTTTTTCTCTCACACTTCCGATCTCTATCCAAACCCATCTTTATTTGTAGAGTCTTTAAACACAATTTCTTATTGGATAACAATTCCGCAACTTACTTATAAGGAGTTACCACATCAATTACAACTCTAAAATAGTAGCCTAATAAGTCACAGCTTCCTTTCCAAATCTTCAGCCTTGCTCCTTAAGCCTTCGGGTTACTAAATGGAATAGGAAAATGTCTTCTACACTTAATAGGCACGATGGATTGGTTCAATTTCACCAGAATCTCAATCTTCAGTCTACAACCATGTTGGACCGGTATGCTGAAGTTGGATATGGTCCAATTATTCCAAAACAGTTTTTGAGCCATAAACTCAACATGGAATTTGAATTCTATTGGGAGTTTGGATGACATGGAAGTCCAAAGAACGGGATAAGCAGATAAGGATAACTCTCCTAGTTCATAGTGGATAAGGTAAGAGAATCAGTCCCATGGTTGGACACTACTACCCAGACTCTTTTATAAAAAGAGGGGTATATCAACGTACGGCAAAAATTACTTACAAAATACTCTTTTCTTCTTCTTGTGATTGTGATATAGTACTAACTTGATCATCTGAGTGTACCCAACTGATACCAAACTAGTGCCTTTTCTCGGTTACCACTTCTGTTTTTCAGGAAATGACATCGTTCCCGATCACGACAAAATCTTACATTAACAATCTTTGAAGAAGAACTCCTCGAGGTTTATTCACCAAGGTTTATGTTGTGAAGAAGAACTCCTCAAGGTTTATATGAGTTGATTAAAGGTTTATTTATGGGAAAGAACTCCTCGAAATTTATTGGTTCGAGGGTTGTGTGGTGGAAGGAACTCAAAATTTATTCTTTTTTAAAGGTTTGTAAGAGTTGACTTGAGATTTAGCTACGAGGAAGAACTTCTCTAAGTTTTGTTGACTCGAAGTTTACGGTATAAAAAGCACTCTTTGAGGCTTTCTTGACTAAAGATTTATCTATATATGGATAAGAATGTTGCGGTTTGATGACTAAAGTTTTGTTTATAGGAAAGAGCCCCTCGAAGTTATTTTAATAAACTCTAGATTTATTTGAGTAAGAGTTCCTCGAGATTTATTCAGTGGTATGCCTTGTGTCACTTGGATTATATGTTGACTATTTTGACTTCTCACTGTTGGCTCAAAATTAAAATTAGTTTCCGCTTTAGTTTGAAATTTAGAATTGTGATTGATATCGTAACTCTTTCTAATCAAGTTGTGAAATTCTTATATAACAAAGAATTGAGTTTTGAAGACTCTATAAATAGAGATGTGTTTGGGTAGAAAGAGAAAAATAATTGTAAAGAGAAAAAATGTGAGTTGAGTTTGTTAGAAGAGAGAGTGTGTAATCAAGTTTTAAAATAAAGACCGTCTAGGCAATATTTGGAACCACATAAATTTTATTTTTACTCGTGTACGCTTTTATCTATTTTATTTGCTAATAATGTGTGTGATCCACTCTCGAGCCCTTACTGCTTACATGTTACGAGGCGCGTGAATTGGCGTGCTTAATCCATGTCAATTAAATTCGTTGAATAAGAATTAAATGTTTATGCAAATCAAGTGAATTTCGTTGATGAATTCAACCATTTAGAATATCTTGTTTTAAAGTGTTTTTAAGACATTCAGATGAGTAATTTTTTCGGTTCCTAAATCTAAAATGCTAGTTTCATTCTTTCAAATTCAAGATATTATTTCCTTAAAACGGGTAAAACATGGGCTACTCTTGTTAATCCAATGGTTTCAGCCTTTAAACAATTCACGCACCGAAATGACTAGTCAACTCCATGCCATTCAATTTAAGGGTCTTAATCTTTCACTAAAAAGCAAAACAATGAAAAACACAAGTTTGAAGTACAACCTTTTAAAAGTCACTTATCGTGTACTCTATCAATTCATAGAAATTCATATACGTTAAATTGGGATTTGGATGTTACTAATGACCACCTTCACGTGTCACACACACACACACACACACAAAAATAAAAATTTTTGGTCCGTCAACTCATGTTTAATTTAATTCGTAGACGAAGTTAGACAAACCTTTTACGTAATTGAAAGTTTACTTAAGTTTGAATTGAAAATTTTCTATTTAAAAAATTGTCTCTAAAGATATTTAAAATATCTTGCTAATATCAGTATGATTATTAGAATATTATTATATACATTGATCTTCCTTCAAGTTTATCCTAGGCTACAGAAATATCCCTTCCATTGAACTCGAATTAGGGTGATGAAATCTACTAGCATCAACAAGTAGAAATTTATATGCACCTACTATTTAGTCTTTGTTATGACTATGCAAAGACAACATTACCTTCCTTATTGAGAATGAAATAATACCGGGGACATTTTAGTAAAATCAAACTAATGTTAACATAGTCAAATAAACAAAAATGCTAATATAGCTTTTTAAAATACCAGAGAGGTTATTTTAATCTTGATTAAATTGATAATTACTCTTTCTTGGATAAAGATTTTGGTCTTCGAACTATGGTGATGAAATCTACTAAGCATCAACAAGTATAAATTTAAATGTATATTTAATCTTTGTTATGACTATGCAAAGACAACATTAATGAAATAATATCGAGGACATTTTAGTAAAATCAAACTAATGTTAACAAAGTCAAACAAACAAAAATGTTAATATAGTTTTGAGGAGTGCTAATTGCAGTCGCGCAAGCAATTGTTCATTCACAATCGCGGTTAGCATTGATTAATTTTAAATGCATTAATTACTTGAGTTTCTATTTTATTGAACTCCACCAACATTATTATTTTTAGACAAAAATACTTTTTTAAATTATCCAGTCTTTCCTCTTCTCTCCTTTTTTTAATCGATCCATATGAGAATATGTGCGTATATATATAACTAGTGTTAATTCTGAAAAAGGGAAAAAATATAGATAGGATGGATAATTCATTCAGATGGATTCGAATATGAAAAAATAAAAGGAAGGAGAAAAAAAGATTCGAGAAAAAAATCCAAAAAGAATAAAAAAGAAAGGTAAAAAAAACGATGAATTCTGAGATCGATTATATAAATTTTCTTACACCTATCTAGAGTGAATGAATTCTCTTCTTTTTTTTTTTTCTTCCTCCGCGCGTGTGTGTGTGTGAGTGTTTCTTTTTGTTTTTGTTTTTTTATTTTTACAACTATCCTTGTATAAATGGATTTTTTTTTTAAAAAAAGAAAATAAAAGAAAAGGCCAAGGATGATTGTATAAAGAAATATATACGTATATAAAACTAATTTTGAATATTTTTTTTTATACACACACACATCTTTATATGGATCGATTAAAATAAGAGATAAGAAGAAAGACTAAACAATTTTAAAGGGTTTTTGTATAAAAAAAATAATGTTTGTAGGACTCCGTGAAAATAGAAACTCTAATAATTAATGTATTTAAAATTAATCAATCTTAATAGCGACTATAAAAAGACAATTGCTGATTATAATTAACACTCCTTAATAATTTTTGAAAACACAAGAGGGAATTATAAAATAGGTAAAGATTTGATTTTGGACTTGCACCAAATTCAATAGTGAGAAAGAAGGAGTGAGCCCAATCACAACTAAAAAAAATTATGACGAGAATGCTCGCTCGCTTGCAAAATTAGACATTATTAAATTTAATTTTAAATACAGGTTGCCCAAGAAATGCCATGTCAAAGCAATTAGGTTATGAAATGAAAGTCTTTTAGTTAGATTAGCATGTGTTGTTTTATTAATGCAAGTAATGGTTGTTATGTGCAAATTGTGCATGTAATGTATTCACCCATCATTTTCAATTTCAATTTCAATTTACACATGTTCAACTCAACTGGTCCAAATCAGAGGGTTCAAAATCGAGATTGTTCCTAACTTCCTATTAACAGTCAAACTCAGATCCATACCCGTTTTGCCTTGCTAGATTGCAGAGCTCGCTCTCTCTCCAAATCTCATTGCCAAGCGTGTGTGAATTCAGATTAAATCCAAAAAATTAAACAACATTGAAAGAGAAACAAACCCATTAAATGAAACAATCGAAATGAGGAACGTAATATCACAAATATTTATCTCTCTGTCTCTAAAATAATAACTGTCATACGCAAAATATTCTAGTCTTATTCTCTGATTCCACGTAGCAAATCACCCCCACGAAACCCATCTCTCTCTCTCCTCTGTGTCCTCTCTCTCTCTCTCTCTGTCTGTGTCTTTTGCAGCACTCTGGTGTGGTGGCTTTTCGTGTTTGTTCTTAATTGATAGTAGTTGAACTGCTATTTACATAACCTCCGGTAAACAATCTAATTTCCTAATAATTACAAGTTGGTGATATACTTTTTTTAGTATATTACTGTTGAATTTCTTTGAAGTTGTTTACCGAGGAGGGTGTTTTCACAAATGGGTCATCGTTGAACCTCTTCAATTGACGATAAAAATGGTTTTTTTGGGGGTATGAGACAACCCATCATGGATCTGGAAAGTGGGTTTTATCAGAATCATGTTAAGGTGAGATGGGTGTGTGTTAATTTTTGTGGTGTTTGATTTTTTGGAACAAACCCATTTCGATTTTGCTGACCATGTTTTGTGTGTGTGTGTTTTTTTTGTTGCAGAAAGAGTCTTGGAGGACAGTCTTGACCTTGGCTTATCAGAGTTTGGGTGTTGTGTATGGAGATTTGAGTACATCTCCTCTGTATGTGTACAAGAGCACATTTGATGAAGACATTGTACACTCAGAGACCAATGAAGAGATTTATGGGGTTTTGTCCTTTGTTTTCTGGACCCTTACACTGGTTCCTCTTCTCAAATATGTGTTCATTGTGCTCAAAGCAGACGATAATGGCGAAGGCGGCACGTTCGCCTTGTATTCGCTGCTATGCCGCCATGCCAGAGTGAGCTCATTGCCCAGTTGCCAATTAGCAGATGAAGAATTGTCAGCCTATAAGAAGGATATTATTACTGGTCCTGCCCAAACAACTTTTGGGTCAAGGTTGAAATCCACACTAGAGAGGCATAGAGTGTTGCAGAGATGCTTGCTTATATTGGCTTTGATTGGGACTTCTATGGTGATTGGTGATGGTGTCCTCACACCTGCTATTTCTGGTATGCCAATAACTCTGGTTCTTGTGGGTTTTACCTATTTTTGGGCTTTTGGGCATTTGTGCTTTTGTTAGTTACTAGGTTTTGATTGATTATTATGGCTGTTTGTTGCAGTGTTTTCTGCAGTCTCCGGTGTCGAGCTTGCTATGTCAAAAGAGCACCATAAATGTAAGTTTCTTCACATTTGTCCTCTTTGAGGCTTTGATTTGGTAGTGTTTTGATATGTCTTCCACTGTGTGGCAATACCCTTCATGATAAGCAGGCAGATAAGTGCACAACAATTGTTAACTTTTGGGTAAACTGTTTATAATCTTTTTTTGATAAGTAGGGGAAACTGTTTATAATCTGATTTGGTTATAGTATGAATTCTTGTTTTCTGGCACTCAATTTCAGTTTTAGTATTAATTTGATCCAACTTTTTCCAATATTTACCAAATTTCCATACTTCATGGCTGAACTTGTTTTCTTTTCCAATAGAAATTTGAAAATCTTTTGCTTCTTTTTATTTGTTTTCTCATTGTGGAAAAGATGACCAACCTAATTTTATCTGGATTGAAGCTCAGTCTCATTTGGCACCTATACTTAAAGAGGCAGTCTAGTGGAAAATTCTGAAACCATTGGACTCTGAAAGGGAGATAGCCATCAACTCAAGATAGCCATCAACTCAAAAACACAAATTATGCCTGTGACTCCCCAACAAAAGTTCTTCGAACCATACATATGAAAATTACTTGATTGCATGGATTTTGTTTATTTCTATCTTTGTAAGATATAACAAAGTTAGTAATTATGTGGTGAAACTCATCATAAAGTGGAGTTCAGTTGGGTTGGTGGTTAGAAGGTGTAACTGATGATACAATAGAGTTTAATTGGTTAAAGTCATTAGTATATTTAACATGTATAGCAGAAAGCTAGAAATTGTCTAAGCATGTTGCTCCATTTATTAGATCATCTGGTTAATTATTTAAATATCAGATACCAATTTCTCATAAATGCTTATAATGACTAATCTTTCTTATGATGCCGCCTTCATCTTGGCTAATGTGTTCGTTTAAACAAATCATTCATTCATCAAGGGCATACCATTATTAATGTGGGGGTTGAAATCTAGAGGTTTTTATGTTACCAGGTCAGCAGGAAGAATTTTGTGGTGGATTGCAGTAGAATACCATCTTCCTTAGGTTGACTTTGACTTGGTGTAATTGTTTCCTGCTGTTGGAAGCATATGGATTGCTTATGCTATGTGTGTCGAATGTGAAGGCGTGTGGAGAAACTTGGTCTTCAGGTCATTATTGGTATTCTGATGTCAGCAGATGGGAAAAACCATAGTTCAACTCAATTATACATGTGGTTTTTCAGCGCAGTGAATGTTCAGGGATAATACATATGATTAGAGGAATTGAGTTTCGGATGTGAAGAATACATAGTACAATAAGTACAGAATGACTCAACAACCTTAACATTGTTTAGGATATAAGGCTTAGTCTACCTGATATGTAACTTGTAAAGATTAGAGCACGACACAGACTCAAAGTCAAGCATTCTAAATTTGGAGTTACATTTACGCCCATGGATTGTGCCACCAAGGAACATGTAAACACTACCAAATTTTAGTAGATGTGTAACACCAATGCCTGTATGAGTGGGACAGACCAACTCAAGTTTACAATGAGTACATTTAATTTTGTAACTTGTAGTGAAGTTAAGCTGCCCTAAATAGTTTGAATTTCTAAGAATAGTAGTCATGTGTAGTTACTGTATAGTTCAACAGATATGCAATTTGCAATTCGGAGTATTGAAAGTCATTACAGTGCGTAGCCACCTAACTTCTCTCCTCACAAAACAGAAAGAAAGGAAAAAATACCTTTCGTAGTTAGTTCAACCTTCACTCATAGACTCCTTGATGAATAATGAAAGTTACAAAGTTCCTCTCAAGTTGAAGTTGAGGTTAATACTTAGCAATTTGTAAACAATATATCTTTCTATTTCTTTATCTTGTATAAGTGTTTGGCACAACTCCATATTTTGATTTTCACATGTCATGTCTTAGGTTGTAATTAATTGACTTGATACTTGGGCACAGTTTCTACTCGTTCCTCTTTGAAAAGAGGGTATTTCTATATTTCATTTTTAAGACTCAGACGAATATACTATTTTGTTGGGACCCATTAGCTTGTGCATAAACCAAACACGAGAAACAAGCTCTAGTTTTAACAGTACAAATCAATTATAACTGAATATGTAGGAGTTTGAAACGATTATAATACAAAGAGACTCAAAATGTCAATATGCTTTATAATCAGTACTATAAATACACCCTCTGCAATTTTTGTAAGTGTTCTTATGTTGTTATATATATTTCAATACCATATTCAAGTATTATTGAGTAAAAAGTTCAATTTAATCAGAATTTGAAAAACTTTTCAGATTCTCTCAATTGTCATCATTAACTAGGATATCAAGAGAAAATTTGGCCCACTTTCAGCTTTTGAGTTTTGTGACAGGACCGATGACTCATGACTAATGGCAAGGTTGCATTAAGATTATTAGTGAGTGAAACCATGATCACATCTACTTATGCATTGTTATTCCTGAACTTTCCATATACCATGTCAAAATCTTTTGACTAGGATATCTTTCACCCTTTAGCACATGGCAGAAGACTTGTGTCGAAAATCTTGACCCTATACTCGATGGCAATTTTAGCCAAGACACCACAATTTTGGACACACATGTTCTGCACCCTGTGATCTTGTTATTACATTGATGATCTGATTAACATCGAATGGGTTACGACATCTTGAATTATTCCCTTTATGATTCAAAACCAGCCTAATAATAAGCAAACCTTAGCTTGAAAATATTATAAATTAGATGCTCGCACATGGACACAACCATAAATTCCCGCAATGGGGCTTGAACAATCACCTCTCTTTGGCGAATAGATGTTATCCCACCCAGGTCAATAGCCCTGTGGTAAAATTCTTTCACAATTAACATTAATGCAATAAGATATATATGTACTTGGTGCTGTAGGTAAGATCTATCATCTCTAATGTATCAACTAACTCATCCCTTTCACACTTGCTTATGGACCTTCTGCAAACCAAAACACTATAAAATCAAAATTAATTGTTGTAATTTGATACCTAACATTCTTTAAAAAATTCCGAAGAACTTCAGAAAATGTTCTTTTGAGACTTAGTAATATGGTCTTGACTGAATAAGGAAAAAAATAAAAGATGAGTTTCATTGTATTATTATAATCCAAAATCTCATTCCATAACTTATGTAGGGGAGCGTTAAATGAGATGTAATAAATGGAGATATCAAAGCACAAATATGAGGGACCTAGAGAGATGATTTGGATGGAGGAGGAGAAGTAGACTAGCCAATGGGATTTATAGTGGAGGTAGGGATGTTTGCCTCCATGACAGATCCTTGATGTTATGGGAGTTAATGTATGAGTTGACTCTCCCTTAGTGTTTGCCCGCCTAGATTTCCTGGGTAATATCCCGAGGTACTCAACAAGGTTGGTCCTTACCTGACACCTAGAGTTATAGGTAGTGATTCCCTTAGATACCTAAGGAATCAAATCTCTCACTTAGCCATGCCTTTGAGTGGCGTGGCGTGACGTGTAAAATTTCTATTCCAAACATTAAATGCATTCCGCTGGGCAACAACAATGGTAGTTGAGGTATTAATGACTCTAACCAGAGCATTAATGATTATTGTAAGGGTCTTTGTCACATCATGTGTTCACCATCCCTTTGGCTAGGCCTATCTATTACTCGTGTTAGGCATTTTCTGACTTCTCATCCACCAATCCAAAATCCTTCAAAGTGTCCCAAATGGTATTCGTAAGTATTCGAGAAGGCCCTAACTTTATCTCGCCCCATGCTTAGCAACTTTGACTCGAAGCTGTGAGTTTCCAAATTGTTGAAGGATTTATATATTTAAGTTACACCCTCTCTAACAACTTAAGCTTTTGGAGTAGATGGTTGTTAACACAAATGTTACAGGTGGTGCTCTCAAGATTTGATGATCTGGTGTGGCGTCAGGTTTTCTTTGGACTCAAGAATTGTAATCTCGAGTTTTGGTAACTTGACGTGATGTTAGGGTTTACTTTAGACTCCAGAGTTATATTCTCGAGGTTTGGTGATTTGGCATGACATCATCGTTTCCCTTTGACTCGAGACAGGCCTTCTTGAAGTTTACTGACCTGGGGCGTCAGGATTTTCTTTTGACTTTTCAAAGAGCCATGTGGTTGGTTCGTTGGGTCATCTTAGATCATGTTGGTGATGCTTGTTTTGACTTTTCAACGTGCCATGTGGTTGACGCTATGTGACACCTACATTTAGTCTCCCTACGCGCATGACACTTCATGTAAGGGGTGCGCGTGCATAGATGACGCTCTATTTGACGTGAGTGAAACGATGGTTTGAGTTATTATTATCGTAGTTTTTTTGTTTGAGTGGCCCTTTGAGTTCTGAGGTGTATTTAATATCGTGTGTTTTCATGTAGTAATGTGTTTTGAAAAAGAAAGGTCTGGCGGCAGCTTTATCTTCTTCTTCCCTCTCTAGTTGTCCTCTATTGCAGTGTGAGACAAAGGAAGGAGATTTGCAGAGGGCTTTCTTTGTGCTGTTTACATCAAAACACTCCATCGAGATGTTAACACACCCAAACCATCAAGATCTCAAGGAATAGATAGTGAACAAAACATCCTCACTACCCTCGTCAACCTCAGGTATCCCTCGTTCTCCGGCGACGACAACACTAAATCTGTCCAGTCATCCCAAAAATAACTAGGATTGGGATGACTCGTAAAATCAATGAATGAGTATGGAAACTGCCCTTGTTTAATATTAAATCAAAGCACCGAGTCCACCGGAATACGCAGTCCCACATCCAACTCCGCCTCCTCTTATAGTAACCCAACCTCCTCTAATGGCAGCCCCTCCTCCCCAAAACGATCAGCATGATATAAAAGAATAGTGCTCCCCAAAGAACAGCACCCTATGCCACTCCACATCCAGCCGAAAACGAGGAGGGGACTGGTCCTTTTTACTCAATTTGCTCTTCGGCATTTACCAAATGGCGAATGAACATAACATAAAATGCTTACAGAAACAGCACAAAGAAAGCCTTCTACAAATCTCCCTCTTTTATGTCATACTTCAACAATGGACAACTAGAGATGGAAGAAGAAGATAAAGCTATTGCCTGACCGTTTCTTTTTTGTCTTTTTCAAAATGCATGACTACATGAATCTATGCACGCGCACCCCTTCACATAAAGCGCCACGTGCGCAAAGGGACTAAATGTAGGTGTCGCATAGCGTCAGCCATGTGACACATTGAAAAGTCAAAACAAACATCGCCAATATGGCCTAAGATGACCCAACGAAGTAGCCATATGGCTCTTTGAAAAGTCAAAAGAAAGCCCTGACGCACCACGCCAGACCAGTAAACCTCGAGAAGACCTATCTTGAGTCAAAAGAAAACCTTGACGTCATGCCAAGTCACTATACCTTGAGATCACAACTCTCGAGTCTAAAAAGAACCCTGACGTCACGCCAGATCACTAAACCTCGAGAGTACAACTCTCGAGTCTAAAGAAAACCCTGACGTCACGCTAAGTAGCCAAACTTCGAGAGTACAATTCTTGAGTCCAAAGAAAACTTTGACGTCGGGCCAGGTCATCAAATCTTGAGAACACCACCTACAATAGGTGGAACCTCACAACCTTGAGTCAAAGTTGCTAAGTATGGAATGAGATAAAGGTAGGGCCTTCTTGAATACGTATGACTACATTTGGGACACTTTGAAGGATTTTTTATTGTGGATAAGAAGTCTGAAAATGCCTAACTCAAGTAATAAGCCTAGCTAAAGGGATGGTGAACACATGCTATGACAAAGACCCTTACAATCACCATTAATGCTCTGACTAGAGTCATTAATACCTCAACTACTGCTGTTGTTGCCCAACCGAATGCATTTAATGTTTGCATTAGAAATTTAACAAGCCACACCAATCAAAGGCATGGCTAAGTGAGAGATTTGACTCCTTAAGTGTCTAAGGGAATCATTACTTGTGACTCTAGGCACCAGGTAAGGACCAACCTCGTCGAGTACCTCTAAGTATTACCCAGGAAACTCTGTTACATGGACTCTTCAAAAGTAGTGAAGTATCCGTATCAGACACGTATTCCTCAGACACGGGTATGGGATATGTGTTTGACACTTTTGGTTGAACATGTACTTAAAAAGCATATCCTATCATTTAATTACATTATATTATTACTTTAAAATGAGTTAAATGCCTATATTGAACATTATATTAGATAAAAACATTACTTTACTCTAGAAAATAAAATAAAATAATTACTAAAATGAATATTTAGCCGTGTCCGTGTGTCCTTCTGTTTGGAGATTTGACATGTTCGACGCATGGATATATACCCGAGTCTGACACCCGTACCCGAGTCCATGTAACATAGCCAGGAAACCTAGGACTATAAATACGATTATCAAGGCAAGCATTAAGGGCAGAGTGAACTCATACATTAGCATCAAGGATCTGTCACGGAGGCAAACATACATACCTCCACCTTAAATCCCATTGGCCAGTCTACTTCTCTCCCTTCATCCAGATCATCTCTCTTGGTCCCTCATATTTGCATTTTGATATCTCCATTTATTACATCTCATTTAGTGCTCCAGTAAAGAACCCCTATAACTTACTGTTCTACTTACCATTTTTAAATTAGTTTCTTTAAGCCTAGTCACCACAAGCTTCATATGGTTATGTAATAGACTACCACTACTCTATTAAAAAAGCTACAAGTGGGAAGACCACAGGTGTCAATTCAATACGACATTCCCATCATAGATCATATGTGCTAGATCAGTTTTGGTGCTCTAACATGAGTATGTGGTTTAGTATTTAGAAGTTTTCAATTAAGAAAGTATATATCAAAACTACATGTTGTTTATATCATAAGTTAAATTGTTACAATATAAGTTTCCCATTGTTTGGAAGACATTATAGTCTCTATAATAGTCATTAGATGCAAAGATACTTAAGTTGAGGGATTTCATAACGATAGGCTCCATATAGGAGACAAATTAATAAATCAAGTTCATCGCCACTACTAGAAGTTGCTATCTTTTAGTGTCACGGATTACAGAAGGAAGTAGTATACACATTGCATGAACATCAATTTGTGTCCAAACAAAATGTTCGTTGGCCATTAACAATAAATGGTATCTTGAGATTTGAGGTTTAGACATTATCTTTTGGCATTGTGAAAGACTACTCGTTCCAAGAGAGAAACCCAACGATCTCATGGATTAGGATGCGTGACATGTACAAATGTATAAAAGATCATGATTATCTTGGCAATACTGCTCAGTCTCCTCCACAACGTTGATGATGGACAAGAGAGCAATAGACCTTAGAGCCAATTTGATATCTTTTCAAGTAGGTTCACAGAAAATAAATAATAATCACAAATATACATGCGATGATAAAGTGCCAATCGAGGTCATTTGTCTAACTGGATTGGTTCCAATCAAGTTCGGATATATACTTATTTGGACTGTGCAACTGAAACATCAGTTATCCCTGACTGGTTTTGGGGAAAATTGCCTCCTGATATTGTATTATATGGTCCCAATAACACTGCAGTTGCATGCATTCAGGGCAAAGATTTATAGTATATATATTTACCTTCAGTACATATCAGTGGAAGTTTGAAACTTATGCTATAATATTGTAACTACTGTGAAGCAATATTTTTAATGGCTACGTTGTTGATGAATATATATATTTTTGAAAGGTACCTTGTTGATGAATTGCTAATGCTTGTTGTTAGCTGTTTTTTATACTGGGTGCTCCTATTTTAACTGAAACTCGTTTGACTGATCAAATTGTCTTTTGAAATACATTGAAATTTTTTTTTTTTTTTTTGATAACTAAAAGATTGTATAAAAAGCGTCCAAAAGGGGAACGCATCCCTCAAAAGCTACACAAGGCCAAATAGGGCCTCTAAACCCTCAAAGACTCCAAAAAAATCTACAAGTTCCTCCAAGGATTTACAATACCTCCCTAGAACCCAACAAAAAAGAGTACTAATAATAGAAAGCTTCAACATCCCAATAGGATTCTCCTTTACTTCGAAGGATCTCCTATTTCTTTCAAGCCATAAGCTCCACCAGACGCATAAAGGTGTAACCCTCCAGAAATCACAAACTTGTGCCCCCACTTTACAACCTCTCCAAGCCTCAACCAAGTCTCTAGAAGATCTGGGCATAACCCACTGAACCCACCCCAAACAAACCCAACATCAACATCCAGCAATCTCGAGTCAAAGGGCAATGCAAAAGAAGATGATCAACCGTTTCTTCGTCATTCTTGCACATGAAACACCAATTGACCACAATCTGATTTATCCTCCTAAGTTTATCCTGAGTCAAAATCTTCCCCAAGACGGAGGTCCACTATTAAAATTAGCATGTTCTGTGGCAAAATTCCCATTGAAATTTGTTTCTGATCTTAAATAAATTTCCAATATTAAAATTAGCATCCGTATCACAACCGATGTAGACCAAGTTATAAGAACACTGAATTTTTTGAAAATTTTATTGTTTTCAAAATTTAAAGTATGTTTATTTATGTATTAAATGCATGATCGTAGATTTTGGTCAATTTTGCAATCTAAAAGTCCTATACTGGAAATTTCAGGATACTGGTCCTAAAACATAAACTTTTTTGCTTGTTCTTTAATGCTGACATAAACAACTGTCTTTATGGCTTCACCTCAATGTTTTTGATCATGTAATTACGTTTCATCTAAACCTAATATTCATTTATTGTTCCATTATTCTAGATGACATGAATCTAGTTTAATTATGCATCTAAAAAATTCGGTTATTTTGCAGATGTAGAAGTTCCAGTTGCATGTATCATACTGATAGGCTTGTTTGCCCTTCAACATTATGGCACCCACAGGGTTGGATTCTTGTTTGCACCTGTGGTCATAACGTGGCTTTTATGCATCAGTACTATTGGTTTATATAATATTATTCATTGGAATCCTCATGTGTATCAAGCACTCTCTCCATATTACATGTACAAATTTTTGAAGAAAACCCAAAGAGGTGGTTGGATGTCCTTGGGTGGGATCCTGTTATGTATAACAGGTAAGTATACATTTATCATGATTGAATCTACTTCCTAAGCGGGAATATTTCCTTTTTCTTTTTCTTTTTGGATTCCCTAATGCACATCTTTTTTTTGTCCAGGTTCAGAAGCTATGTTTGCTGATCTAGGACACTTTTCGCAGTTGTCAATTAAGGTATTTATTTTTCAGAAAATTAATTTTATAACCTCTGAGGTTTTTGCAGTCTGAATTTACTTGGCATTTGTTATTTGTTCCCTTGTTTTTTTTTTTTTCACTATTAATATTAGTGCTAGTACTTTATTATTCCTATGCCAAATAAAAACAGCATTTTTATTTATATGCCAATTATTTATTTCTTAAAAGTCATGTTTTTCAATGGTGATATAACAGTCAACGCAACATAGCCTTGGCCTAACTATTTGGAATTGATAATATGAATCCGATTTTGTCTTGCTACTCTAAGGCCATAACTCAGTCAAATCACAATCTCTCATATCTTTCCATCTCCACTTATGTTGATTTTTATTTTTTGCTTCCCTTACATTACCTTCAATGTGGACCAATTATCTGATGATTTCAACAATTCAAAGAAAAAAATCATTTTTCTCTTTTTAAATAAAATATCTCAACTTTACAGACAACATCCATTAAAAATATAATTTACGGTTTCCTAAATATTAATTTCTGGATTGGTTTTATGTAACTTGGTATCATTTAAAAAACGGCTCCTTTGTACCCCAGGCAGCTTTGGTTAATGCCTAGTCATGCTTCTGCAGATTGCTTTCACATTTGTGGTTTATCCATCCTTGATTCTTGCATATATGGGGCAAGCTGCTTATTTATCTCGGCACCATGTTGTCGAAAATGATTATCGGATTGGATTTTATGTTTCTGTACCAGGTAGGTACTTTTAGTTGCTGCTTATTAGAGAAAAAGTATATATATTAATGCTTGTTTCAACTAAAACAGATATCTCACATTAATGTGTCAGAGAAATTAAGATGGCCAGTTCTTGCAATTGCCATACTTGCTGCAGTGGTGGGAAGTCAAGCCATCATCACTGGAACATTTTCAATCATCAAGCAATGCTCTGCTCTGGGTTGCTTCCCAAAAGTCAAAATAGTCCACACATCGTCGAAAATACATGGCCAGATTTACATCCCAGAGGTCAACTGGATCTTAATGCTATTATGTTTGGCTGTTACTATTGGTTTCAGAGACACAAGACGCATGGGTAATGCTTCAGGTATGATGGTGAGATCAAAGTATGCACAAATTATATATGAGTGAATGATAATTCCATTAGATTTATTCTGCTTATCATTCTACCTTCTAGGCAAAAAGAAAAAAAACAACTAATTCAATACTGCATGGGCAGAAATTTAGTTTTTCCTTTGCTTTGTGGAGGGAGCAAGTGCACGTGCTTTTTTGTTCGAGTAAACATTTTTGCAAGTGCTTACTTTAGGAACTAAATCAGGAAAAAGAGGGAGAAAAAGAAGGAGCACCACTTGTGGTGCATGTGTAGTGGTTAAGAAGCCATAAACCACCATTAATTGGGCCCTAGCTGGAGACTTCTCGTGCTACTAATTCTCATTGTGCATTGATTTTGGATTTTCTTTAATTTGATGACTTCTCCCGGCATTTACCATGGAAGAATTTTCCACTCAGTTAAGCCTGACTTTTGAGGAGTGAAGATGAGTAGGGCCAAGCCTGATTTGGCGGGTGGTTGAAGTTAGCATGTTAGGTAAGAATATATAGTCAAAGGGAAACTGCTTAAAACCGGACAGGTTTGATTGGGTTGATGAATTTATGTTTCAGTCTTCAGACCTGCAGACCATCAGGCTTGTGTGGGTTTTAAAAGGATCCACTCAACTTGGGCACCACTTTCCATACCAGCTTCAACCTAGATTTGGGTTGAAATCGGTTGGCATATCAGATCAAGGTTCTCCCCTACGTCTTCCATTATATGAACAACATAAAATGTTATCTCACTGGTAGGATCATCATATGAACCATTGAACTTCAAACGTATCTATCAGAAAAAATATAATATAAATAATTGTAAAACAAGAAAGTGAATAGAATTGACTTTTTTTAGGGGTTAAGGAGATGAGCTTAATGTTTTGTGTCAGGATATTAAGTCATGCATTGGAAAGCTTTTACACAAATCAAGAGTTGTAAGATTCAAAAATTATCTTGATTTGTTGTCTACAACCAGAGGAGATGCTGAAAATGAAGAACAGCGATGAACATGTGATATTTTCATCAAAGTCAATCACATATCTAGGATCAAGGAAAGGTGAGACCTTAGCGGATATAGTAATCTAGGTTGGAATGATTTATAGATGAATGGACCTTCTATAGCTGGGTTTGATCTTTAGAAGGCTTAAATTTGAAGTTTTTGACATTTTACAAGAATTAAGCTTATTGATCGATTGAAAATTTGATGTGTCAATCAAACATTGTTGAACAGATTTTTAATTTGAAAATAATTAGATACGAGTAAAGCTTTGGTTTCTCAAATAATCACTTGAACTAACTTAAATGAGCTTCGATGTGTCGAACCTATCAACCACATCAGTTGAAGGCTACAACTATTATTGTTTTGAAAACTCTCAATAATCAGTCTTATTTTATTTTCATTTTTCATATAGGTATATTGGCTACAAATATGTGATTATAGACAGTCTAGGATATATCTCTTCTTGTCTCTTTGCACATTATTGAGAGTTAAATGTTTTAGAGAGAGAGCTTTGAGAATCAATCTGGGATTTGAATAGAACACCAGACTATGTGATTGAGAGATGCAAAGCAAGGAGCAAATCAAAGATTTATAAATCAATCATCACCAGATTATTTCTGAAGAACAAGGATTTGAACAACCACAGGGAGCAAGCTTGTGGGTGATCATGTTTGTTGACTGGTAACCATAAGTTTGAGGAGGATCGTCTGGTGTGAGTTTAGGTCAAATGTAATCAGGGGCTTCTTGGGATTATTTTTTGGAATCTTAGTGTAATCACGAATCATTTTCATTTTGATAGTCTCTGCGATTACAAGGAGGGGCTTCTTGGGATTATTGTCTGGAAGCTTAGTATGTACTCACGAATGGGCGGTTAGCCTAATGGTATAACCTTCCTATCTTCAAAGAGGAGGGGAGGGGTTCGAGCCACGGCATAATAATAATAATAATAAAAGGTAAAAATCTTAGTGTGTAATCTCTAAACCATAGTGGATTGTTCATGTCTGCACTGGGAGTCTCATGGTTTTTCTTTTCTATGATTTTTCACTTAAAACTTGTGTCTGCTTTATATATATATATATATTGACTTCTTTATGTGTTCGTGATTGTGATTGAGACATGTGGACAACTAAGTAACTGAAAATTGGGCAAAAATAAACATTAGGTATTGTATGAAAAGTATTTACATAAGATCTATTCACCCCCTGTGCGGACTTGTCTTATCAAACCTAGGGTAATACTGGCTTATTCCCTCATTAGGATATATAACATGTGTTGGCATGTGGTGGTATACTTCAGCAAAAAATGGAATCGTGTGCATTTTTATCTGTGTTGTGCATATTTTTGGATTCTTAGTATAATAAGAAGTCAATGAAGGAGCAAAGAAACTGATCTGATTCTTATTAGATGATAAAAGGAAAATATCTGGCTCCCAACAAGTAATGCAAGAGAATTTTTTTTTTGTTGGGGGGGGGGGGGGGAGGGGATATTCGGTGGATTTCTTATGGGCTTAAAAGATCGAAAAAATAATAAAATAAAAAATTGGGCACATTAAATCTCACCTAAAAAAGCGAGGTATTTAGAATCACTTGGAGAAGTACTAGACACTAAAATTCGAGTAAGGCTGTAGGTCAACCTCATACTTTGCTGTTCTCCCTTTCTCTCCATTTCTTCTCCATTAATAATCTGATTAAATTTATCAAGCATTCCATTCTTCTCTTCTTTCTTCTTCGTCTATTATTTTCCTCTTTTCTTCTCCTTTTAAATGGTGTGGATCTTTCTGCATACTTAAGAAGAACATATTCACTATGAGCATCTCTTATCTGTTGAACAGGTTGCTAAATTTTAAAGGGACTCAATCAAATTAAACCATATCTAATTATCGTATTGGTTGTGGCCATTTCTAATTCCATGTTTTTTCTTGCTTTTGGATCAGGTTTAGCAGTTATAACTGTCATGCTGGTCACCACCTGCCTAATGTCTCTGGTGATTGTTTTATGCTGGAACCAGAGCGTCTTCCTCGCAATTTGCTTCGTGTTCTTCTTTGGGGCAATAGAGGCTCTCTATTTCTCTGCTTCTCTAATCAAGTTTCTTGAAGGAGCATGGGTCCCCATTGCCCTTGCATTCATCTTCATGATGGTCATGTATATTTGGCATTATGGAACCCTAAAAAAATATGAGTTTGATGTCCAAAATAAGGTCTCTGTGGACTGGCTACTCAGCTTGGGTCCGAGCCTAGGCATTGTTCGGGTTCGCGGAATTGGCCTCATACACACTGAGCTAGTGTCTGGGATCCCAGCAATCTTCTCCCACTTTGTGACCAACCTTCCAGCCTTCCACCAGGTCTTAATTTTTCTCTGTATTAAATCTGTCCCGATTCCCCATGTAAAACACGAGGAACGGTTCCTTGTGGGTCATGTTGGCCCAAGAGAGTATAGGCTCTATAGGTGCATTGTGCGATATGGTTATCGTGATGCTCACAAGGATGACATGGAGTTTGAGAAAGATCTTGTATGTAGTATCGCTGAGTTTATACGGACAGGAACGGCCACGGCCAATGGTGAGAGTGAAAATTTGTCAAAGGAGGATGAAGAAATGGCCGTTGTTGGGACGCCTTCAACCCATCCTAAAGGGATTCAAATGTGTGATGACGATATGAACAACACACACTGTGCTAGCACGTCAGAGCTTAGGGAGATACGTTCTCCACCGGTGATCCAACCAAGGAAAAGGGTAAGATTTTTGATACCCGAGAGTCCTAAAATCGACAAGGACGTGCAGGAGGAGCTGGGAGAACTAATGGAAGCTAGAGAAGCTGGAATGGCTTACATTTTGGGGCATTCATATGTAAGAGCTAAGCAAGGGTCTAGCCTAGTAAAGAAGCTTGTTGTTAATATTGGGTATGAATTTCTGAGGAGAAATTCTAGGGCACCCACCTATGCATTAAGTGTACCTCATGCATCTACTCTAGAAGTGGGAATGGTTTACCATGTATGATTTTGGTTACAGACCACAAATAGTATATAATATATTCTGTAAATGTGTCGGTAATTTTGTGCTATAGATGGAGAGAGTTCCCTAGGACTTCTGAGATTTTCTAGGTGCAGTGCCCCATTTTTATTTATTTATTTATTTTGAAACATGAAATTGCCCAATAAATAACGCCATAAACCCTACGATAATCAGAATAATCTCCATCAGCCCAGGCTCCTTTTTTTTTTTTTTTTTTCATACTCTCAATTAACCAACACTTTGTCTTCAAAAATGCAAGTACTGTAAAAAATGCAAGTACTGTAAAAGCTTTTGAAGACAAAGTGTTGGTTAATTGAGAGTATGAGACTTGGAGCTATGTGTATCAGGCCCCTCTGCCCAGCCTGGCATTGTGATGTTTATTGTAATATATTGTGTGTGTGTGTATATATATATATATATATATATATAAGAACTGGAAAGAAAAAATGCAAGTACTGTAAAAGCTTTTGAAGACAAGTGTTGGTTAATTGAGAGTATGAGACTAGGAGCTATGTGTATCAGGCCCCTCTGCCCAGCCTGGCATTGTGATGTTTATTGTAATATCTTGTGTGTGTGTGTGTGTGTGTGTATATATATATATAAACAACTCCGTACTTTATAAATGTCGTAATGAAATATATGCAAAGAAAAGTATATTATCATTTACTCCAAAATTGAATTTTCTCAATGAGGGTAGGACTTGGTCTCCCATATGGGTAGCAAAGCGTTGATATACAGACCAACCAAGGCTTCTTCCATTCAACGTTAAGAACTTCTACAAAACTTTTTATATTGGGTTATGATGTAAATATTTTTCTAAATAAAAATATATAAGGTTTAGACAAATAACAAACGAGTTTATCATACCATTCATGTTTTTTTTTTTTTGACTTCATTGAGTTTTAGTGTGTGTTCAAAGACGGTATTTTATTTTTTGCCGACCATATTTTATTAAATAACAATTTTACCCTTTTCTTTTATGAAAGGACAATAGGGTAAATTATACTAATCTCTCCTGAAGTTCGAACAAACGAAAGCGAATTATCATATTAACAAATATTTGTAATATAATATATTAGAGTATTATGATATAAGGGCATTTGACTTTTCACACTATGAACAAATAGTAAACACTAAATGATCTAATTTCTTATAATTTGTCCAAATTTCACGAGCCGCCAGTATAATTTACAGTTTCATTTTAACATGCAGCACATGTGAGTAGTATCATCATCAAGTTGATGTGAACATTGCTTTAGTCTGAATAGGTACGTTGTTTCTCTCTCATACATGTCAGTTTGATTCAAAAATTCTAATGATCCATTGAAATGCATTATTGAATAGAATATCAATAATGTGAAAAAACAATAGATGCATGTATATATTGAAAATGGCACTTGCAGAAGCTAATATAACCTAAAGGGGTGAAGAACTCTATTTTGCTATGTAAAATGATTTTAACATTGATGATCACCAAATTGAAATATTAACCTAATTAATTAATTAACCCAGTACAAGCAAGGAATAAAAAAATAAAGTAAAAAGTAGGGGATAATAAATTTTTAAGCGAAAAAATCAACTGAAAAAAAAGTTGATCCAGTGTATTGGTGCAAGTTGGTTATATCACAAAATGCCACACCTATGCAACAACTTAAAAAAAAGTTATATAACACATTTATATTGAAGATATATATTAGTGTTGTAACATTATAATACCATTAAATCAAAATTTTAACACATTTATGTAATTGTTGTACTGTCGATTTAAAGTTATTACATTCATGATTTAAAGTTAGTGTATTAAGCACAAGTCATGCATGCATATAACAGAAAATGACATGAGGATTCTCGTTATAAGAATACGTGTTGAAATAGTCTAGAGCACATAGATTCACTGTAAAGTAGAAAGTTAAAAAGATTATAGCGTTGTCGAGATCTCTGTTATTGATTCACTTCCTCCCTACCTATTGCGCTATTCAACCAGCCAAACTCATTAACGCAAAACATCCACAATAATCCTCATCCCTTCACTATAAATTCATTCATGGACATTTTGACACACAAAACCACCCTCATTCCCTATGAGAACACTAATGTAATTGTGAAGTATTTCAAGATAGAAAGTTTTAGCTAGGATTAATCTCCCAAGTTATGTCTCAAATCTCTCAAAATCTAACAATTAAAATGAAATATTGTGAATTTTTAGTAAAGTTTTTTAGTTAGTATTGTTGGGGCGAGATTGACTTAAAGCTAAATTAAATGTTACTTATGATATCCTAATTGAATTTAAGATTGACTAAACGCAACAAGGTGAGTTAGTTAAGAAAATATATAAATGAAAGGATTGAAGAGAAATTTTAGAATTTTGTAAAATTTGAAAGGTATATAATTTTAGTCTTGGATTTACCTTCTTTCTTTTTATTGTGTGGTATTTTTATTAGTTAGGTGATTTAATCATGGTGGCTATGATATCATTCGTTAGGACAGATTCAGGTAGGTTTTGGTGGGCTCAAGTCCAGCAAAAAAAAAATTATTACTATAGCCAAATTTGAGCCCAATCAAAAAAAAAAAAAAAAAATTATTATTATTATTATTACTATTAGGTACTCAAATATTAGCTCATTCCATTGATAATATCTGAATTCGCTGCCGCCAACAACACTTGGATATTGTCGGTTTTGCAAATTTCCTCGGGTAACTTACACCGTTCACACTCTTTGGCTTTACCCATGAACTATCCAATAATATTCACAATGAGATCTTTTCTCCTAAATGAATCTTAGAAGATATCCACACATACAACTGTCATCAAATCTCTCCCCAAGTAATGTGAACGCCACATTTAGACTTTTCGATTCAATTAAAAAAACGTTAAATATGTTCTAGTACTCACCCATGTTGAGTTAAATTCTTAAAAAAAATGTTAGTTTTTCTTGTCATGCCACTTAAATTTTTAAGGAGGTTCAACTACACAACCATGTTAGAAAAAGATGGAAGATTTTAAAAGTTGGAGTGCTATTAGAGATTTGCAGAGTGTAGGAAATATTTTAGAACTCTACAGAATTTTGTAGAGTTTTAGATATTTAGTTTGAGAGTGGATAGAAACGATGCTTATAAATAGGTGAGGGTATCATTTGAAATTAGTAATAGAAGGATAATTGCCACAGCAACTGAATTTGGCTTGGAAATGAAATTCAACAAAATTGTTGAATACTCTATTTTCGCAGAATTTTCTTTCCATAGCGAGATGCACGTGTTTTTATATGATGGTTCCGTATTACTTAACCTTATGTTAAAATTTAATTTTATCGATATTCTTCTGATGGTTTCTGATTGTTATCAAACACACCACCTTCAAAACTGCTAGATGAGCGTTTTAGTCCACCTACAACATCATCAACCACCATGTCCTCCAAATATCCTATTCACCATTTCCTCCCAATATCCTATTCCCAATCCATATAGCATATGGTAGGTGGATCCCATTCAGATTTGTGAGCTATGAAATTTTGTTTAGTATTTATTTCTGACAAAAATAAATAAATCTATATTATATTTATGCCTAAATCAGTATGACTAAATTTATAGTCTGTTATACAATATAGCTTCGTATTATAAAGATTGAATTTATTTATTTATTTTTTTTTAAATTTCTATAGAAGGTCAAGATTAGAAGGAATAATGTTAAAAATATTATTGTATGGGTAAAAAAACGAAGTCGAATTGACGCAACGTTTTTGTAAACTCTCAAAAAAAAAAAATACAACTTAGATTGACTCGAAAATATACAACTTTTTGAAAATATAAATATTATTACAAAATTCCAAAACTATTCTTAAAGAATATGCAGCAAGTGACAAAGCAAGGAATTCACTTGAGGGTGGTCCAAATTCTAAAATAAATAAGATAATTTTTTGGTCACTCAATTCCAATTTATTTTGATGCACGATTGGACATCGCCTAGCAATTCTTGTAATGTAATGGCTTATATACTGAATTTTTACATTTAATTCACATTTTGATCGCCTATGAAAAGTAATAAACACTAACAATATACCTGTTTATAATTTGCTAACTTCACGGAACGTGAATTTAATTTGCTTAAATTTCACGAAATGACAATGTTACCCTTTCATTTTAACATGGTACTACTACTCATCATCAAGTTGACGTTAACATTGAAGTTTTGTTCACTCAACCCCACCTTAATTTGCCTGGCCTGTGGCCTGTGCCCTGCTATTGGCTCACCATAGCAGTTTTGAGTATGCTGTTCTCTCGTACATTATTCATTAAAGTTGTTGATTACGAAATTGAAATATTAACCTAATTAATTAATTAACCGATTGTATATTGGATTATTGTACAACACAGCATAGTGCAACACAACTATCTCACAATATATTACAAAATGCCACACTTATGCGACACATTTATATTGAAGATATATTACATCGTATTGTAACGTTATAATACTATTAAATCGAGAATTTAACACATTTACATTTACGTGGTTGTTGAATTATCGATTTAAAATTATTACATTTATGATTTAAAATTATTAGGGCAAGTGATATAGTACTAGCAATACATGCTAGCAAAGCTTTGTTGGATTGCTAGCCATGTCAGCAATTGTGCTGATGTGGCTAGTAACAGTATATTGCTATCTTGTTTACACGGTATGGGTTAATTAAGATTTATTACTTTATTAATTTTTATTGTACTTTTTTAATATATTTAATATTTTGAGTAAAAAAAATTAAAAACATATATATATATATATTTTTCGTTTGCTTGTATTTTTTAACGTTAATATTGAGTAAAATGTATTTCTTCATATTGTATGTTTGTGATGAATAAAATATTACTTTACAATTTTTTTTTCCTTATATATTTGTTGACAAATTTTAAAGAAAAAAAAATCAAAATCATAAAAAAAAAAAAAAAATTTACAATAAAATTAAATTACATATAAAAGGAAATAGTAAAGAAAAAAAAAAAAAAAAAAACCATTTCTAACAATATGATTTTTTGTTTTAAAAATTCATATTTATTTGTTGACAAATTTTTTAAAA